AATATTATAAGTCTTTCACACAACAAAAATACGTATTTTTTTATTAAAATAAAATCAAAATTTGTCCATGAATATATTGAGTATTTGTTTTGAATAGTTCGTGTGCAAAGTAATTTTCACGTTAAAATTAAAAATACTTTTCCTCATCTCAATAATGTCAAATTTCCTTTGTGTAATCCCTAAAACCTCCTAAATGCATTTCAAACGGTTGTTGTTTTTCAGTAAGACTTTATAGTTTATTTATTTTCTCTACCCTATCTCAAAACGGGATCGGTCAATTCGACTGACCTTGTAACCACCAAAAAAAATCGAAATAAATCTAAATTACCCTTTTTTCTTTCTAGAATGACTTCAGATTGTAACATGAAACAACATTTGTTTATCCTAAGTAGCTTTAACTTCATAACAGTATACATTTATTTATAATTAAAGTTTATTGTCTTGTTATCCTTTGAAATGTGTCTGACTACTATCCATGCCATTATAAGTTGTAAATCACTTGGGGAAACGTGCAGCTCACGTTATGCTAACGAATCATATTGTTACATTGCCCACGAGCTCCTTGCGTGTGTACCTCATGAAACATTTTTATTATACTATTATTATTACTTATTTTACCTAATCTAATCTTAACTAACCTAAAAGGATCCCTATTTTTATGTGTTAGTTACTTTTATAATTAAACATAAAGAATAAACATGAAAAACAAGAAGTATAATACTTAACCAGTCTTTTTTTTCTTGCTCTCGAGGAGATTTAACCCTAATTTTTTTATACTAATGATAGTTATGCACTTAATAATTTTTATTTAATCAAGTAATGTACCAAAGAATATAGACTAATAACATGCAAAAAGTAGACAAATTCCTTCTAACTATGCAACAAGAGTCGTTACAAATTCATCCAAGCTAGTCATTAACTTTCTCGTGGAAACAGTGTTGGTACTCTGAGTGAAATTAATACTTAACCATTCAGAAGTAAACGTTATACAATACGTCATTTTGAGAGATGAAAACCTTGACCTTCTATTGGTTAATATATTGGTAATATATAATTAAACATAAGAAAGAACTATTAATGAATTCTGAAAGAGAGGATGTGGCAGGAGGGATCTCTTCGACAGCTCTGTAACCAAATGACATTGAAGACTATAAAAATTAGGGTTTGTCAGCAATGATAATATTATAGAGAGTAATTTACATTTAATTTCATACTTTTTCGAGGGGTGATAGATAAGATAGGGAAGATGACATGCTAAGAGAAAATGGGTCACACTAGGTGAAATTTAGGATTTTTTTTTTTTATATATTGCCTTGTAGAATTAAAAACTTGTATACTACTAAAATATGGATTATCAGCTAAGATTTTATGCTTTACTAATTGGTATAACATAAACAAAAAGTAGTTTAATAAAATTTTGAATGTAAAACAAGGATTGCACTGATACCCAGCCGGGTATTGTACTTCCCGGTAATACTGGTTAATACCCGGCTGAGTGTTAAAGTTCAAAACAGTGAGAAGTGGATTTCTGGAGAAGGTGGAGGTTTTGAGAACAATAGAGGTTAGGGTTTGAGAAGTTGGGGCTAAGCATGAAAAGTTGAAAGTAAAACTTGAATGTTCTGTTGGTGATTATTTGATTAAATGTAATAAATGTCTATTTTGCTTTTGTTTCTAAATTCTGTGTATGTTTTTTTTTGGGGGTGGGTAAGGGGAGAATCCTGTCTCAGTTGAAAACTGGCCCTGCCTGAAGTTTAGTGACCCGGAGTTCAGCCAAATTTTACTACACATGCATCCCTATGTAAAACACTAAAACCTTGTGTCATGTGCAGTAAAGGATACACGTGACAATAGGGTTGAAAGGTTGTTGAACCCGCTTCTCATTTTCAGCTCCATAAGGGATACAGCCACTCCCAGTATACTCAAAGCTGTTGTGGTCGTGAATGCTATTGACTGGCTTCCTTCCCTCTGGTCAGTAATTCAAATTAGGGACAACTTAACTGTACTGAACATAAGGGGGTCTCTCACTTGGCTGTCTAGCTCATGTGAGCATAAAATGCTGTCCAGATTGAAAATATCAAATATCTATTTAATTATTGTTGTGATATTTAGGGACATTGATTTCCAACAGAGAAGTCAACAGTTCCTGCGATTTGTAAGTTTAGGACTATTAAACAAAGAATATATTGGACACAGGCAGTAAAGGAAAACAAGCAAACACAAGTTTAGGTTGAAACACTAAAATTCTTTTTCAACTGGCTGGGATTGTTTTCTTTGTCGTCTAGCTGCTAGGGTTGATGAGAGTGAATAATTACAATGAATAATAAATGGTCTTAATTATGAGTAAAAGACAAATCACGAGAAGCTTCCGTGAACCCGGCCCTAGGTCGTCTGTTGGGTATCTTTGTTGGCAACATTTTATGAACAGGTATCTTCAGTAGGTTAGAATATCATAAAAAAGTTTTAGCATGTTTATGAATAGATACTTTGGCATACCTTGTTGTTAATATAATCTTGATGAGTTCTGATAAATGATGTCACTTTAACCCCTCTAAAAAAGTAGTAGCAGTAGTCAGTACGATTGAAACAGATTAGTGAAACCCCGATTTTACACGAATTCGGATATAATGCAATGGGTCATTAGCTCTTTCGACACGGGCTCGGTCCCTGGGACTGACCTCATAACCATAACCTCATTATAGTTTACATACTAATAACTTTTAATATTTTAAGTGTAATCTTTACAAAAACCCCAATTTAGTGCGACCCCACTTGTTTCGCAATGATATTTTATGGACCTCAACGATTGCATTATAACAGGGTTACACTGTAATTTGGTAGGCTTGTATTTCTGTGCTAATATTTTGTTTTTTGTATACCAATGCATCATTAACATTCAGTACAGTGGTGTCTGTGTTTTTTTCCATTCATACTTCTGATTCAAAGAAAGATGCAGTGGGCTTTCTTGTTTTCTCAAATGTAGTTTAATTTTTTCATTATTATGGTAAAGATATGTCATAACTAATCATATGAATGATTCGCAGATAGTGTCCAGATTTTCTTAAAACTCAACTCTTATTAGATCTTTGAACTGCACGAGTACACCAACCATACGTAACAAAAATAACATAACATAGATTTAGGTTTTGAATGCTTATGTTATTCTATAAGATATTTTAACTTGTCTTATTGTAAGTTTTCATAATTATAAGAACATTAGCATTATTGAACCTACTATTGTTTTGAAATAACATTGACCTTTCATTGTGGTCAAGCACATTCACCAACTAGACCAAAGCTGCCATTCGAACATATAAGTATGCACATTCCTAACCTGATTAGTGTTTGACAGTTATTATAGATATTATATGCCATTTCAAGTACTGTTAACTCGCAACAGACAGGATAATATGTACTGTTTGTTTGTCTATACATTTTATTTTAGTTTATTCAGTTATTTATTTGCCCATCATTCTCATCCAAAATTAACTGGCTGACCATTGTTAAGCTCAACTAATCAAATACCAATGTGTTCATCCACTAGTCTTTCGTGTTAACTAGGTTACGAATTCACTTGTTATAGTTGTTGCACCAAATGATACCAGATTATCCTGTGAAATGTAAGCGTGCGTATACTCTATTTATCCTGTATCTTTGGATTTGGAAATTTTCAAAAAAGAACTGAATATTATAATTATACTAATTAAAACTTGATGTTATTTGTCTTCTTTTCTTTTTTCTTGTAGAAATGGGATGCATTGGCAGCAGAAGCAAAGAAGGAGTATGAGAAAGCTATGGCTGAATACAAAGCTAGTGGTGGAGGGTAAGATTGTTTTCGTCATTTTGGGTTCAAAACAAATGAAATAATAGAGGGTATTGTTTCATTGTTGTGATGCTGTTTATGAAGGTAGTGTGTAAGTATGAAGGTGTGGTTTATGAAGGTAATATTTAAGTATGAAGGTGTGGTTTATGAAGGTAATATGTAAGTATGAAGGTGTGGTTTATGAAGGTAATGTGTAAGTATGAAGGTGTGGTTTATGAAGGTAATATGTAAGTATGAAGGTGTGGTTTATGAAGATAATATGTAAGTATGAATGTGTGATTTATGAAGGTAATGTGTAAGTATGAAGGTGTGATTTATGAAGGTAATGTGTAAGTATGAAGGTGTGATTTATGAAGGTAATGTGTAAGTATGAAGGTGTGATTTATGAAGGTAATATGTGAGTATGAAGGTGTGGTTTTTAAAGGTAGTATATAATTATGAAGGTGTGGTTTTTATAGGTAATATATAACTGTGAAGGTGTGGTTTTTAAAGGTAATATGTAAGTGTGAAGGTGTGGTTTTTAAAGGTAATATGTAAGTATGAAGGTGTGGTTTTTAAAGATAATATGTAAGTATGAAGGTGTGATTTATGAAGGTAATATGTAAGTATGAAGGTGTGATTTATGAAGGTAATATGTAAGTATGAAGGTGTGCTTTATGAAGGTAATGTGTAATTATGAAGGTGTGGTTTTTGAAGGTAGTATGCAAGTATGAAGGTGTGGTTTTTAAAGGTAATATGTAAGTATGAAGGTGTGGTTTTTAAAGGTAATATGTAAGTATGAAGGTGTGGTTTTTAAAGGTAATATGTAAGTATGAAGGTGTGGTTTATGAAGGTAATATGTCAGTATGAAGGTGTGATTTATGAAGGTAATGTGTAATTATGAAGGTGTGGTTTTTGAAGGTAGTATGTAAGTATGAAGGTGTGGTTTTTAAAGGTAGTATATTTTTTATTTGTTGTTTAACCAAATAAATGTAGTATAATAGATTTTTGAAATTTAAAGCTATCTCATCTGTATATGTGTACAAATCAAAACAGAAATGTGTATTATGAGAATTTAATCTAAAAAATGAAAGAAAAATGTCTGTGGTCATAGCACCTAAAAACTTTAGGGATGTTCCATCTATCAGACATGATCCAAATTAAAGTGTCAAATGATTCAGCTGTTACAGAAGATCAAATTAGGAGTTAGAAATTGAGTACTTTGACCCACAACATCTCAGCTCCTACTGCGTTTTACCATCTGCAACCATTTATGGGAAGGTAGCCATACCTAATATTTTGATGTAAAATGCAGGTGTTAAAATAACCTTGTCATGGAAACACAAGGTGATTTATTTTGGTTTATTTATATGACAAGGTTATTTCTTTTCATTGTTATGTTACTAATAATACAATTCGCAGTTTAGGTTTTCAAACTAACTTTTATCATTGTTAAATAGTGCTTATTTACTGCTATATACATTAGATGTAATTTATAATATTAGTACTATTTACTGTATGTATAGCGCCACAACTGCTGAGAAAGGAACAAAAAAAAAAGATAAGAAGGAGAATGATAAAAAAGCATCGGCAACTAAGTCTCCAACCAAATCGCCAGGAGCTT